GCCAGCCTAGTGTGGAATGAGTAAACTCAAGAATATATAGGGGGCTTAACTAAAAGAACCTGGTGGTTGATCAGTAGTACAAGATGAGGACCTGGGGGTGGAGCTGGGAAAGGGAGGACAAAGATGATTCTAAAATATTTGTCTAGAAGAAAAGTCTACCTCAAAAAAGATAGGTAGTAAAAATACAGGTTTTGAGGGAAAGATGATTCCAGTTTTGTCAGTCTGAGTTAGTGCCTGTGGGATATGTAGGCCAAAGGTGTGGGAGTAAAATCCCACAACTGGGAGAATCAGTTATGGGAGACATTAACATGAGGGTATGACGATGGCCAGCATCTTCAGAAATAGGGAGTGAGGATAAATGCACACTCTGGAACAACATAACAGAGCACTAATATGGAAAGAGTGGGAAAAGGAGATGAATCCAAGAAGGACACTAAAGAAAAAGATGAGGAGGCTGTAACAGACCAGGTGAGTGTAGTGACATGTGGAGTGTGAGTAACCAATAGTGTCTAATAAAATAGCAATATAATCAGCCAAAGCCCAAAATTTAGAAAAAACAAACAAACAAACAAAAAAACCCATTAATTAAACAGATCCCTGCTTTTCCCTCTCATGTCATCCCATGCCCCTGCTCCCCTCATCTCTTTCCTCTAGTTCACTGCTTTCTTTCAGCAATTCAAACAGGTCAAATTGTTTCCAAACTCAGGACCTTTATATACTTTTTAACTTCTGCTGGGGCTGCTTGAGCTGGGTAGGTAGATGCGGAGTGAGTCCTCACTGACATGATGACCACCAGACTCTAAAGCACCTTGGGATAGGAGCCTTAAGATGTATTTGACAAGGCTGTTTCTATAATACACATTGGTCATACTGTTCATAACTATCAGAAAATCTCCATCTAGATAATTTCAAGGCAATATTAAATGACTTTATCATGAAGTCATGCATTCTTTCTTTAAGAAAACATAAATTACTGCTGACATTGTTTTTCTAGAAAAGTAAGCACTCTCTTATTTTTAATATACTGTATCTTATCTCTGCCACATGACAGCATAGTTTCTTAGAGGATGTTATCTATGAGGCTGGCCTCATAGAATAATGGCTCTTAAATTATTTGTAGTCTATAAATTAATTAAAATGGAATTGCAAACTTCCCCCTCACCCTCACCAAATAACCCTAATTGACAATTAGCATGTGGTTTTCATGTTGATTTCAATTGTGTGCATTATAAAATGATTTCGCTTCAGATATTTATAGCCAAAATAGGCTCTGTGATTCTATACACTAGAATAGAAAGACCCACTATGAGAACTTTAATAATATTGGTATAGGCCAAACAGTTCTTAAATCTGCCTCCTCTCTGCTCCTACTGCCACTGCTTTAGTTGGAAAACTATTTCCCTTTATTAAAGTCTCTTGCCTCAAGTAACACCGTCCTCAAATCTATTCTTTTTCACACTCTGTTGTAATTTGATCTTCTAACATTCAAATCTGGGCCTATCTTTCCTGCTTAGATTTCCTTAGGAGTCTCATGTTACAGTGTAAAGTCTAAATAACTTAGTGTTGAGGATCAAGCTTCTCCAGAGAGGGCTCTGCCTGCCTCTGTGGCCTCACTTCCACCCAACTTCCACCTTTCGTGTTCGGTTCCAGAGACACAAAACTGACTGTCACATACCTTCAAAGATGTTCTCCTAACTTTCCCACCTCTGCAAGCTCTTCCCTCTGCCTGAAACCATTTCCCTTTACCTATTAGTAAATTCTTGCTAATTCCTTAAGTTTCAGCTTAAGTTCAGCTTAAATTCTTGCTAATTCCTTAAGTTTCAGCTTAAGTTCAGCTTAAATTCTTGCTAATTCCTTAAGTTTCAGCATAAGTAAAGCTCTCCAGGGCAGGTTTACAATCTCCCTGTCTTGTTTAGCCATTGCACTGTAGCCTCCACCAAAGCAACCCGCTCGTTATATTTTAATATTTGTTTCACATCTGTCTCCCTGAAGCACTAATTGCTTCTTGTGGTCAGAGGTTGGATCATCCCACCTTTCGGATGCCAAGCATCATGTTTTAAGGGCATGTAAAAACTTTGAGCAGTGAGTCTCTGAGTGAATGAATGAATGGATTTGGTAGCACTTCCCTCCTTTCAACTAAACATAAAGCTTCAGCTTTTCTCTGTGTCAGAATGTGAGTATTCACAGCTGCAAGCCTTAATCTGATAATACACTTTCAAGAGACCACCCATCTGCATGGAACACACACACAAAGCTTGAGGTTAAGTGAAACAAAACCTCTAAAGCAGGAAACATATGAAACCATTTGGGATTCAAAAAATAGAAAGAATGGGAGTAAAGAGGAAGCAGGGTAACTCAGAGACAAAAGATTTGTCTTGGATTAAAAAAACACACACACACAACAAGAAATCTGGTCATTGCAGTTTTTTTTTTAATATAGAGCTGGACATTTCATTAGTCCCTTCCTGGCCCTGCTCCCTAGCTGATACCTTATGGGATGCTGTTGATCCCATCACTAGTGACAGTGACTTTCTCATAGAGGTTACACTCAACTATCCCCTGATTTTAGCAAAATGTACAAAATCATACAAAAAAGTGACCAACCTGAGCTTGTCTCTTCCCTCAAGGAGGTACTTTGACAACCTCTGCAGGTGGAAAGCAAGTAGTCTCAAAGCAAATAGCTCTATTTCTAAGAAACAGTTATGTTGATTCTTCCTTCCCTTCATAAACACATAGGAGACCTATTTCTGTGTTGACCAAAATCTGCTTTGCTGTTAAATACAGGAAAATTAGGTCAGAGAGGTTGATATATAAAACATGACTTGTTTGTTTTAAAAGTATGACCACATATTCAGTCTCATAATGGGGCATAATACTGGTGTTTTGCTTTGCCATCAAATAACATAGTCACACTGATCAAAACAGTAACTCCATTTTGTAAATGTGCCCAATGAGAGTTTGGGAAAATGATGGATTATTAGTAGGTCACATAAAAAATTAAGTGGGGCAGTTAGGTGCTATGTCTAAAATTACACTACATTATACTCCAAAGAATATTCAGACAATTAAAGGGAAAGAGTTTCAGGGAAAAATGTTTAAAATGAGTACCAGCTAAAATGTACAGAAGGACAGAATTAGAAAAACTAGATTTTTTCATCTTCCAATGAAATAACTGCTTTATAAGGGTTACCAATTAATGTTAAAGCATTTGAGAAGGTGTTGGTCTCAAAGTTTCACACCACAGAGTATATACTAAATAAAAGGAAAATATACCTCTAATGAAAAGATCCAAAAATTACTATCTAAATCACAAAACTTAGCACCATCACCAAA